TTCCCAGAAGAGTATTCCATGTTCCACGTATGCCATGTATCATAATTTCCATTTCCCATTGCGAATATATGCTGCCAGTGCTGTTTGCCAATGTTTTGTATGAGAATTACCTAACATCGAAGACTGGTAGGTTTCTAGTGGTCTAAAAAGAGCTCACAGATCACTCCACAGGGGGGTCCGGGCAGGTGTTGGGAGTTGCCGGGCGGCAGGGTGCCGGGCTCGTTTTTCGCCAACAGTCACACACTTCGTGCTCTTCGACTTCCCAGAACTCCATTCCCAGGCTCATTCTGAATACCCGGATGCAACAGTCACACACTTCGTGCTCTTCGAGATCCCAGAACGCCATTCCCGGGCCACATTTAGAATAACCGGATGCAACAGTGCTCTTCGAGGGCCGTCACACACTTCGTGCTCTTCGAGTTCCCAGAACTCCATTCCCGGGCCACATTCTGGAGGGCCGGATGCAACAGTCACACACTTCGTGCTCTTCGAGTTCCCAGAATTCCATTCCCGGGCCACATTTTGGATGCCCGGAGCCAACTGTAGGCCACTTCGTGCTCTTCGAGTTCCCAGAACTCCATTCCCGGGCCACATTTTGAATGCCCGGAGCCAACTGTAGGCAACTTCGTGCTCTTCGACTTCCCAGAACTCCCATTCCTGGGCCACATTTTCAGCAGGGGCAAGAGCACGACGAGGAGGAGGACGAGCAAGACCAGGAGGACGAGGACGAGCAGGAGCAGGACGAGGAGCAGGAGGAGCAGGAGAAGAAGGACGAGCAGGAGGAGGAGGAGGACGAGCAGGAGGAGGAGGACGACCAGGAGGAGGAGGGAGGAGGAGGAGAGGGAGGGGGAGGAGTACCAGGAGGAGGAGGGAGGAGGAGGAGAGGAGGAGGAGGAGGAGGAGGAGGAGGAGGAGGAGGAGGAGGAGGGGGGGAGGAGGAGTACCAGGAGGAGGAGAACGAGGACCACCAGGAGGGAGGAGGAGGAGGAGGAGGAGGAGGAGGAGGAGGAGGAGGAGAGAGAACACCAGGAGGAGGAGACGAGCAAGACGAGGAGGACGAGAACGAGGACGGAGGAGGAGGAGGAGGAGGAGGAGGAGGAGGAGGAGGAGAGGGGAGGGGGAGGACTACCAGGAGGAGGAGGAGGAGGAGGAGGAGGAGGAAGAGGAGGAGGAGGACGAGGAGGAGGAGGAGGAGGAGGACGAGGAGGAGGAGGGGGGGGGAGAGCACCAGGAGGAGGAGAACGAGGACCACCAGGAGGAGGAGGAGGAGGAGGAGGAGGAGGAGGAGGAGAGAGCACCAGGAGGAGGAGGACGAGCAAGACGAGGAGGACGAGAACGAGGACGAGCAGGAGGAAGAGGAGGAGGAGGAGGAGGAGGAGGAGCAGGAGAAAGAGGAGGAGGAGGAGGAGGAGGAGGAGGCAGGCTGAGGCTGAGGCTGTGACTGCGACTGCCGTTGCCGCTGCGACTGTCATCGCGAATGCGACTACGACTGCGAGAACAGCAGAATTCGACAACTGGATTTTCATCTGAATCTTAAGGGGAATGCTTTCAGATATGCTTCTACACATCGCTGTTAGGTTGCTTTGCCGGGATATTTTTTTTCACTGGGCATGTTGTAGTTATCGCTGGGATCCCTTAGGTTTCCAACATATCATTGCAACTGTTTTGAACTTGCATTCGTTTTCTTTCAATGGGGGCGAGTGCTTTGTTGCAGTGGGGTTCCGCAGTGCGGGTTGTTGTTGAATTCCCATTTCTGTAGAATGACTATTGTTGGTCCCCCTGCCCAGTATATATGGTTATTAAGTTAATGTTGTCCTTTTGTGGCTCACCCTGATCCCCGGTTTGCAGCAAACGCACCCCCGCCAGATATTTCCTCACAATGTATTTCAAAGTCGCGCTCTCGCGCGGGACGTCTTCATAATATATGCAGGAATCGCGCTCTCGCGTTGGGCTTCCTGTTTTTTTCTTGTGGCACGGTGCCCCCAAGACTCAAGGATCACGCACTCGATCTGGATGTCCTAACGATTTGCATTCGAATCGCGTTGCCTCTTGAAACTTGGACTGACGCTTCCGCGACCCGCCCGCTCGACCCGGCCGTCTGGGTCTGCCCGCCCGACTTGCCCGTTAGGGTCCGCCCGCCCGACCCGCCTGTTTGGTTCTGCCGCTTGTGCTCCTGCTCCTTACCTTCCTCCTTCAAATTATCGTGCTTCATCCTTCTCCCTCCCTCTTATCTCTTCCCTCCTCCCTTCCTTCTCCTGTTTGAGGGGCTGCGCCAACTACACGCGGCAGGCAGGGAAGGTATATTTCCAAGGGGGTACGATCGAAGACGCGGAGGGCGGAGGATGATAAGGAATATGCAGATGCTAGTGATGATGATGAAGGGGAGGAGGAGGGATCCCTCGAGCGACGACGAGTGCCTCTGACCTGAGGGGGAACATGGCGAACTTGAAGGCATCTTGGGGCGTCTTGGGGGCCTCTTGGCGGTCGCGGGGGCATCTTGGGCGCCTGGGGGAGCCTTTTGGGGGTCTCGTGGGAGCCTCTTGGAGGCCCCTTGGACGCCTTTTGGGGCCTCCTGGGCGCCTCTTGGGGCCGTCTTGGGGCGCTCTTGGGAGCCTTGGGGACGCTCTTGGAGCCATGTTGGAGGACATCGATCCAAAAAGGGTGGAGCTTCAAGTCGCCTCGCCCCTCGAGAGTAACTGAAATCGCCTCGTGGACCCCTTTTGGAGCGCTCTTGGGGCCGTCTTGGGGTTCTCTTGGGCCTCTCTTGGGGCCCTCTTGGGCCTTTTTGGAGCGATCTTGAGGCCTCGGCAAGCCATCGAAAACAAAAAGGCGAGACGGCCACGTTCATTGATTTTCCAGGCTTGGGAAGGATTTTGGCCTCTTGGGGGCCTCCGTGGGGCCACTTGGAGCCGTCTTGGAGCGGTCTTGGGGCCTCTTGGAGCATCGTGGGAGCCATCTTGAGCTACCTTTGCCCATTTTGAGCCATCTTGGAGGTCATCTTGGGCTCTCCGAAGCCCTCGTGGAGCCATCTTGGGCCATCTTGGACGCTCCAATGGGTCGGGCACCGCCCGTCCAGGTTCAGGGGAGGGGGTAGGGGGAGGTGTAAACCCTTCCGCGAAGGGGAAAAAGGGGGCTGGAAGAGAAGGCGCCCTAGACCACCTACGCCCAGAGGGCTGGTGGGATGTATTCAGGAATCGCGCTCTCGCGGGGGACTTCCTCGCAATTTATTCAGACACCGCGCCTTCGACATTCAAGAGTCACGCTCTCGCTGCGGACTCCCTCACGATTTGGGAATCGAGCTGTCGCTCGAGACTCCGCGCGCGTCATGCAGGACGCACGCTTCAGCAACCCGCCTGCTCGACCTGGCCGCCAGGGCCCTCCTTCCCGACCCACCTGGTAGGGTCTACCCGCCCGATCTGCCCGTCTGGTTCTGCCACGTGTTTTATGCTCCTAGCCCCCCTCCTCCTAATCTCTGTCGTGCTCCATCCTCCTCCCTCCCCCTTGTCCCTTCCTTCCATCCGTCCTCTCTTCCCCTGCCTCAGGGGCTCCGCGAAATGCACGTTGCAGGTAAGATGTATGTGCGTGCGCAGTTTTGATTGGGATTGGGCTCGGGTCGTGTTGCTGCAATATTCTCCGCAACCGTTTACGCTCAAAGTTTCTCGCGGAATGAATCCCGTCCAGGCCGCCAGCACCGGGGCGCTCGCGGTGGCCTTCCTGGAGTCAGTGGTGCGGCCACTGCTGACTCAGCCCCCGCAGCTCTACTGCCCAGGTGCGGGCGAGCCCTGGCCCGAGTGCCCGTCCTGCTTGCCGTGCCCCCCTTGCGAGGCGGCAGCGGGGCCGGCCTTCTTGCTGGCAGAGAGGACGTGCGCCCTGAACGAGTGCGACGCGCTCGAGCCGCCGTTCGACTGGGGGGGCGTGGTGGGCGGCGTCGCCAGCGTGCTGAACCTGTTCGCCTTCGCCTGCTCTCGGCTCAGCTGCTGGCGCGATGGCGATGGCGGCGGCCGCCGGCGCGGCCGAGGAGTTCTGGTTCCGCCTGGTGCCGGGGGAGCTGTACCTGGCGTGGTTCGAGGACGACACGGTGTGGCACGAGAGGATGTGCCTCTGGCCGACCACTCAGGAGGCCAAGTGGATGATCCTGACGCCCGACGGGCACGTGCATGGTGAGAGCGCGCGAGGCTGTGAGGAAGGGCCCGCGCGCACGAGGGCCATGAGGGACGGCCAGCTGCCGGCTCGCCTGCGCGCGCCAGTGTACAGGTTCAAGGAGTACCCCGGCACGCATGAACTGCGGGTGCTGGTCGCAGAGGCGCGCGAGGAGGCCGTCTCCGACGCCAGCGGCCGTGGGCTGCCCGCCGTGGAGGAGTACATCAGCCCGAGCGGGCGCCGGCGGCCGATCGGCGCTCTGCTCGGCGAGGCGGCCGTCGCCGGTCCCCCACCAGGGGAGGCCCTGGTCGACGAGCCGGCAGCAATGCCCGCTGGCGTCGAATTGGGGCTCGCCGCGACCGCGCCTCCAGCGGGCCTCGAGTGGACGGTCGTGGACCTGTCGGGCGGCTGGGACCGCCTTGGCGAGGTGGTGGCGCTCGAGGCCAGCGACCTGGTGCTGACGTCGGGGGGCCTGCACGAGGGTCTCAAGCGCGACGGTGTCGGCTGGACGAAGGTGCAGGCGTTGTCCGGCCAGGAGCTGGAGGCCCTTCGGGCCCGGCGTGGCGCCGCTGGCCCACTGCCCCCTCCGCCAGCGGGGGCGCCGCCCGAGGGGGCGGTCGGTGAGGCCGAGGCCGCCGCTCGGACGGCCACGCCCCGGTCGGCAGGCGGGCTGGACGAGCTGAGGGACAGGCTGAACGGGCCCGCGAAGACCGACAGCAAGGAGGGCGGCGGCGAGCTGGACGTGCGCACCCTCGCCGTGGACTTCGACGCGCAGGGGAAGCGGTTCAAGGCGTGGCGGGAGGTGGTGGCCGAGATGACGCGGAGCCCGTTCTCGGATTGGCCGCTCGACACGCCGCCGACGGTGATCCACTTCTGTGCCCACATGGAGCGGACGGGCCGGGTCCCGTCGGGTTGGCTCGACAAGTGGGCGCAGAACAAGAGCATCGCGGTCACCGACCGCGTTTACTACGAGCTGAAGACGATCATTGATGCGCTGGAGTACGCTGGTTGCTATGACCAGATCAATTCGGGATCGCTGGTGTTCGCTGAGCTCCTGTGCTTGCGGGCGCAGGCGATTGTGGACGCCTACGAGAATAACCCGAGCAAGCCGAGCTTCGAGAACGCGAAGTACTTCTCGGGGCTCAAGAGCTTGTCGGACGCAGTGTGCCCAGACCTGAAGGGCTTCGCGGCTCGGAAGGCCAAGGAAGAGACGGAGGTGGAGAAGCAGCGGCAGAAGGTCAGGGAGCTCCGAGGCAAGGCCGACGGGAAGGGCGACAAGACTGGAGCCGCTGGCAAAAAGAATTAGGCGTGACGCGTGGGCCTGGGGGGACCAGCAGGCCCACGCAGGAGACAGCACTGGTCCCACCTTCCTGGACAAGGATGCTCACCCCGGGAAGATTTTCCCCGTGCCTCTGCTCGACACCGAGCCGGCCCCCCGATCACTCTCTCGCGGAGTTCGTCGGCGGATTGGCCGTCGGCGCGCGTTGGACAATAGGGCCAACGAGGTTCTGCATGCGCTGAATTGGATGTCCGGCCATGGCGATGGCGATGGAGTGCGTCGAGCTCCTGGCGCCGTGGCTCGGGTGCACCGAGAGATCCACGAGCGGGTGCTGAAGGCTGACCACAGCTGGCCGGCCCCTGATCGCGAGGTCACTCAGGTGGAAGCCGCGCGCGCTTGTCCGCGCCGAGTCGGTGTACGACAAGGCGCACATGACAGTGAGACCGTACGAGGAGGGCAAGGTGCCCCTGCCCGAGAGTGCCCGCGACGCGAGGTATGCGGACACGATCGGCGGGGCGCGCGCCCGCGATTTGCTCGAGAGGTTCATCGAACGGCATCGGCGGAGTCCCGAGGAGATCGATGAGCTGAACCAGACCTTTGGGGCTATTAAGCCGTACATGGACCGTCGGTTGGAATCAAGCCCTCGATTTTACCGACGCCTGTTGCGCCAGCTTGACCAGAAGGGCATGATCCATTGGACTCGGAGCCCCAAGTGCTTCATCTCTTTGTTCTTCGTGAGTAAGAAGAGTGGGGCGCTGAGGATGATAACCGACGCGAGACCTCCTAACAGACTTTTTCGGCCTCCACCTGGAGTTCAACTCTGCACAGCCGAGGGGCTGGGCCGGATCGAGCTGGAGGGGGGTCGAGCGGGTGTACGTGGCGCAGGCCGACGTCGCGGACTGCTTCCACAGGCTGAGGATGAGGGAGGAGCTGGCGGAGTTGTTCGCGCTGCCGCCGCTGACAGCGCGCGCGGCCGGGTTGGAGCGGCGCTCGGACGTTGCCGTGGGCTCGCCTGACGAGCTCTGGCGGCCCTGCTGCGCCACCTTTCCCATGGGGTTCAGCTGGGGCCTCATCGTGGCGCAGACCGTGGATAAGTACCACGCCAGCTTGGGGCCGGGCCTGGGGCCGCAGCCACCGACGGCGGACCGGCGCGGTCCAGCCGCCCTGGGCCCCGACGCCCTGCCGGCTCACTACGTCTACGTCGACAACCTCGGCGTGCCCGACGCCGATCCTCGGCGAGGGGCGGCCGCTTTCGCTGGGGCCTGCAGCTCGCGCGAGGGGGCCGGGCTCTCCTTGCGCGACCGCTTGGAGGGCGTCGGTATCATGGAGAGCCTGGGGGTCGAGCTGGACTCCGAGAAGCGGGAGACTCGCCTCGCGGCCGCCCGCTACTGGCGGCTGGGCGCCGGGCTACGCTGGCTGCTGGCTCGGCGGAAGGTGTCGGCGCACATGATCGCGGTGTTCGTCGGCCATTGCACGATTGTCGGGCTGCTCGTGAGGCAGACGATCTCCGTGTTCCACGCTGTGTGCAAGTTCGTGCAGGCCCACCCTTTCAGGCCTTTTCCCCATCTGGGCCTCGGTCAGGGCCGAATTCAAGGCGTTCTTGGGTATCATGCCGCTGCTGATAGCCTCCTGGGAGTTGCCCTGGAGCGGGGTGGTGGGCGCCAGCGACGCCAGTGAGTTCGGTTTCGGGAGCTGCTCCACGTGGTGGGGCGACCGCACCGCCGTCAGGCATGGCAGGGTGCCCGAGCGGTCGAGGTACCGCCTGGGCTCGGCCGCCGCGCGGGACCACGCCTTGCTGCAGTCTGGGCTCGGGAGTTTTGACGACGAGATCGACGACCTCCCTCGCGAGCGCTTCGAGGAGGTGGGATATTTTCCCGAGATGCCGCCCGGGCTGCTGAGGAAGGCTGACTGGCGAGTTACCATCAGAGGTCGCTGGAGGCGGCCCGGGCACATCACCTTGCTGGAGACCCGGGCTGCCGTCGCCATGCTGCGCGGGGGGGCGAGAGCTCGGCTGGGGGCCGGCGTGCGGAAGCTCTATCTAGGTGATGACCTCGGCATGGTTTTGTCGCTGGAGAGGTGCCGAGCGCGAGATCATGCGATCCTGACCCAAGTAAAGAAGTGGTGTGCTATCTGTCTTGCAAGAGAAATCCGTCCAGCTATTCGTTGGATCCCGTCAGAACTAGATGTCGCCGACGAGCCCTCCAGGGGGCCCGGGTCGAAAGGCGCGATGGCCACGTCTGGGTCGTCACTCCCTCAGCCTCTCCCGCAGCCGCCTGGGCTCGAGCGCCTGGAGGCTCGCGGTGATCACCGGCCGCCGGCAGGGGCGCCCGGCCAGGATGCCCAAGCGCGTCCTGGGCGCCGGCGGGCCGCCGCTGGAACGTCGCCACCGGCGGCGTCATGACCGCGGAGGCCGCCAGCCAGGCGCCGGCGCCGCGGCCTGCACCCGGCGGGCCCAAGGGCCGGCAGCGGACGCTGACAGAGGCCGACGTCCACGCCTCGCTGAACTCGAGGTTGCGCTCCAAGCGGGCGAAGCCGCCCGTGGACCCCGACGAGGTAGGGGGCCCCTAGTAGGGGGCGCGAGCGAGGAGGGCCGCGAGACAGACGGGTCCAGCGAGGCTACCTCCAGGGTTTCTGTTCATTGCGGCCCCACGAGGACTCGCCGGCTGGCAAGAGATGCCAACCTCGACCCGACGCGGGGCGCCACGCACCTGGAGCAGAAGAGCGCGACGCCGAGGGTGATGGACGACTACAAGCGACGCGCGCGGCTCGCGTTGAGCTTCGCGCAGCGGCGCCGCCTCCAGGCCCGGTCTCAGACGGACGTGGACCAGCTGTTGACGCACTTCATGAACGTAAAGTACCGCGACGGCGAGCACAGCAGCTACGGCGGCAAGCCTCTCGCCGGCTGGATGGCCGTCTGCCCGGAGTGCGGCAAGTGCGGGAATTTCAAGCTGCCGCGGGCGGGTCGCGCTCTGAAAGGGTGGCGGCGCCTGGTGCCGGGGCGGTGTCGGAAGCCGTGCCCGTTCCCGCTGGTGGCGGCCCTGGTCGTCGCGCTGATCCACCTGAACGAGCTGGAGGTCGGGCTGTGGGTGATCGTCGCCTTCGGCTTCTACCTCGGGCCGTGCGAGTGCCTGAGGATCCAGGCGGAGGACCTGATCGCACCCGTCACGGGGGTCTCGAGCCACTGGGGGCTGCTGGTCGCGCCGGAGGAGCGCGGGGTGGCGACCAAGGTCGGGGCCTTCGACGTCAGTCTGCTGTGGGATGCCCCGTACCTGTCTTTCATGAACGGCGTGTTTCAGGTGCTCCGCTCGCGGCCGGAGGGGCAGCCCCTGTGGGCCCTGGACTACCCGCGCGTGCTGGAGGCATTCAAGCGGGCGTCCATGCTGATCGGGGCCGACGTGGTGCCGTGCCACATGAGGCACTCCGGTCCGAGTTGGGAGCGGCTCAAGGGGGTGGGGGCGCTGCAGCAGATCCAGAAGAGAGGCCGCTGGGCCTCGGTCAAGAGCCTAGTGCGGCACGAGAAGCATGGCAGGCTGGCGACGCAGATGGCCGAGCACTCCGCCGCCAAGCAGCGCTGGCTGCTGGCCTGCGAGCGACGCGTCGGGGAGTACGTCCTCGGCTCCAGAGTCGCCGACTGGCCGCCGCCACAGCGAAGGAGGGCGTGTTTCTGGACCTGTTCTCCGGCAGCGGGGGCGTGGCCAGGGCCGTCCGCTCGGAGGGCTTCCAGGCCGTCGAGTGGGATCTAACATTCGATGAAGATTATGACCTGCCAAGAAGAAAACACGTAGCGAGACTCAAACGGATGATTCGCGATGGAGAAGTGATGGGGGCCTGTTTGGCCCCGCCCTGTTCGTCTTTCTCGATTGTCCGAAATAGGACAATGATGATTCGTAGCAGCAGTCGCCCGTGGGGCCTCCCTGGGCTGCCAGAGCATGCGCAGCTAAAGGTGTCTGAGGGAAACTCGTGCCTGCGTGCCGCGCTAGAGCTAGTCAGATGTCTGAATCGGTTTCGGGTGCCCTGGGCCTGGGAGAACCCCCTATCACTAGTCGAATGTGGCAGACTCCCCAGGCCCAGAGAATAATGCGCCTCTCCTGTGTAGATGAGATCGTCTGCGATTCTTGCATGATGGGAACCCCTTGGAGGAAAAGGACCCGGTTTTTGTTCGGGAGCGCTTGCCCGCAGGACTTAGAAAAGCTCGCGGCCATGAGATGCCAAGGCCGCCGCGGGATCTGCCCCAGGACCAACCTCCCTCATTGTCACTTGTCTGGGGGAGGTCCAGGTGGGCAGAGATGGACTGCCATTGCTCAGCCTTATCCTGCCAAATTACATCGGCTGCTGGCCCGGATCCTCACAGAGCAGGCCCGTGCCCCCCGTCAGCCTCCTTGGTCCAAATAGGGTGAACTCTTCGAATTCGGGGCGCGCCGTATCCTCGATGCTATGGGTTTTCCGGTCCGCGAAAGCTTTCAGGAATCCTGGGCGCCGAAGCGGCCGCCCAGGGGCTCTCGCCGCGGTGTAGACAGCGTCGCTCTCATACAAGACAGATTCCCCACCTGAGAAAACAATCCCAGTAATGCATGTGCGTGCGCACTTTTGATTGGGATTGGGCTCGGGTCGTGTTGCTGCAACATTATCCGCAACTGTTGATGCTCGAAGTTTCTCGCGGCCCAATGCCATGCCCTTACATGCCCCGCTTCCATCATTGCCCTTCCAGGCCCTCTCGGCCTTGTCAGGGGTTCTTCGGTCTGTGAAAGCTTTCAAGAATCCTGGGCGCCGAAGCGGCCCAGGGGTTCTCGCCGCAGTATAGACAGCGTCGCTCTCATACAAGACAGATTCCCCACCTGAGAAAACAATCCCAGTAAAAGATATGTCCCCAAGGGGGTACCGTCGAAGACAAAGAGGGCGGGTATCGAGGGTGTGGGATACACGCGTGGAATGGCACGCGAGCATGGTAGAGCGAACAGTCTTAAAATGAGTGTTTTGTAGTTGGTGTTGGTGGTGGTGTTATTACTATTTATTAGTAATATTATTATTGTTGTTGCTGTTATGTTTGAATTCCCATTACGAGAATAAGTATTGTTGATCCCCCCTCCGGTGACCATTACATTTTTCAATTGAAGTGACCCCCCCGGGGCTCGTACCCTGGTTTTTATCAGGGAAAACCACGGGGCTCAACCTAGGCACATGGCCCCCCGTTTACAACAACAACGGCTCCCGCGTGATACTTCCTCGCTATGTATTCCCAAATCGTGCCCTCGCGCGGGGATTCCTCACAATGTGCATACGAATCGCGCTCTCGCGTGGGACTTCCTCGCAATTTATTCACACGGTGCGCCCTCGGCGCTCATGAATCACGCTCTCGCTTTGGCTTTCTCACGATTTACTTGGGGATCGCGCTATTGATCGAAACTTCCTTGCGATTCATTAGGATCCACGCTTCAGCAACCCGCCTGCTCGACCTGGTCGCCTGGGCCCGCCTTCCCGACCTGCCCGCTATGGGTTGCCCACCCGATCTGCCCGTCTGGTTCTACCACTTGTTTTCTGCTCCTTGCCCCCTTGTGCGAATTTCTCTCGTGCCCCATTCTTTCCCTCCACCTTCCTCCCGTCTTCTCTTCCCCTGTTTCAGGGGCTATACGTTCGCGTGGCAGGTAAGGAAGATACCCCCCCAAGAGGGTACGATCGAAGACGACACGGGCAGGTACCGAGGGTTTGGGATATACGTATGTATTGTTTGGCACGTGAGCAGATAGGAGCAACCAGTTTTAACATGAGTATTGTTGTTGCTGTTGTTGTTGATGTTGAATTCTCACTTCCAAAAAATAATTGTTGTTGATCCCCACCTCTGGTGCACCGTGTATTTTTCGATTGAAGTGCCCCTCTCGGGGCCCGCACGTTGTTTTAACAAGGGGAACTCTTGAGGCTCAGACTGGCCCCCCTGGCACGCGAACTACAACAACAGCAACGGCTCCCGCACTTATTCAACATCGCGCTCTCGCAAAGGACTTCCTCTCGCGCTCTTGTGTGGGACTTCCTCGACATGTATTGAGGCGCCGCGCCCTCGACGCTCAGGAATCACGCTTTCGCTTTGGACTTCACGATGTGCTTGGGAATCGCGCTATTGCTTGAGACTCCTTCGCGGGTCATGCAGGGCTGACGCTTCAGCGACCCACCCGCTCGTTTTGGCCGTCTGGGCCCGCCCGCCCGACCCGCCTGTGAGGGTTCGCCAGCTCGACCCGCCCGTCTGCTTCTGCCGCTCCTGACCCCCTCCTGCTAACCTCTCTCGTGCTCCCTCCTTCTCCGTCTCCCTTGTCCCTTTCTTCATCCCTCCGTTTTAGGGGCCGCGCCAACTGCACGTGGCAGATAAAGATGATATGCCCCCAAGGTGGGCACGATCGAAGACGAAAATAATGGGTATCGAAGGCTTGGGATATGCGTCTTGGATAGCACTCGAACAGATGCGAGCCAATAGTCTTAAAAATATTGAAGTTTCATTCGAAAGAACAACTATGATTGAGCCCCTCTTCTGGTGCACCTGGTGCTTTTCATGGAAGGCCCTCCCGAAGCTCGCACCTTGGTTTTTAAAAGAGGAAATATTCCGCCTCAGACTGTGTTGGTGCCCCCCCCGGTTTACAACAACAGCAACAACAACAATAACAACAGCGGCGCCAGCTATGATATTTCTGCACAATTCATTCAACATCTCACCCTCGCAAAGGACTTCCTCACACATTATCCAGGAAACGCGCTCGCGCCACAGACATTCAGGAATCACGGTCTCGCTTTGGACTTCCTCACGATATATTTGGAAATCGTGCTATCGCTTGAGACTTCCTGGGGATTCATGCAGGACTGACGCTTCAGCAACCCGCCCGCTCGACCTTGCCGCCTGGGCCCGCCCGCCCGCCCGCCCGTTAGGGTCCGCCGGCCCGTCCTGCCCGTCTGGTTCTGCTATTTGTTTTCTGCTTCTAACCTCCCTCCTGCTAATCGCTCTCGTGATCCATCCTTCTCCCTCACCCTTGCCTCTTCCTTCCGGCCATGTTTAGCATCTGCATGTGGAGGTGGATGGCCCAGATATGAAATGTCTTGAATTTTTCAAAATTGGGTCCCCAGAAGGCTCCACCTCTTCTCCAGGGCCGGCTCTTCATCCCAAGTCGTTTTGTTGACGTTTTTTTCACGGGGGACGGGGAGCCCCAGATTGCCTGGTCTGGTAGCCGTTTCGCTTAAGACTTCCGCACGATTCATCTAGGGGTCGTGCCCTCGCCCCGATGCCGGCTACATTTTTTGTCTGGGCGGCCACGCCCCTTTGTAAAACAATTGGATGCACATGGCCGTGCTCTCACCCCTGTCCCGAGTCGTCGAGGTTCTGGGATGCCTGGGAACACATCAGAGTGAACGTGTTTTTGTTGTTCTCTCTCTTTCTGTATGTATATATATATATATATATATATACCCGCCTCTTCACCCTTGCTGCTATTTGGGTGCCCTGCTGGAGTAATTCAGCATTGGGTCCCCAGAAGACTCCACCCTTTTTCAAGGGCTGGCTATTCATCCCGTGTCGTTTTGTTGAGGGTCCTGGGGCCTGGCGAGGGTCCCTGGAGGCCGGAAATTGAGAAACAAATAGAAGCACAGTTTTTGTTCACGACGTCGGATGTTTGGGGACAGGTCCTTCGTCAGTCTGTCCACCTCCTTTTTCTCCTCTGCCTCCTCCTCCTCTCTCTTCCTCCCCCTGTGGTCGGTGCTTTTTTTCACGTCTGGCAGGGACCATGGTTGTAGGTAACCGACTCGCGTGACAGTTTCTTTGGCATCCGTGCTGCCCCCTCTCCCTCCTCGTTTTCCTCCTCCTCCTCCTCCTCCTCCTTCGTCTCCTCCGTCCCCCCCCCACCCAAGTCCAAGGCTAGTCTATTGCAGACAGAGGCCATTAATGTAGCACCCCGCAGTTGCGGATAAGAGTGAGGGGTCGGGCGAGGGTGGGCCGCAGAGTGGGTCACGGGTCGGTCGCGGGATGGATCGCGGGTGGGTGGCGGGTTGGTCGCGGGGCGGGTCACAGCAAACAAGCAGAATCCGCGCCGCGGAACTCCACTTCATCTACGCACCAGGGACAGGGAATGACCGTTCGGCCATGACTCAAAAACCAGGCCATCTCTCGCAGCACGCTCCAGTCCCACTCGTGTGCACAGCATTCGAGGTAGCGCTTCACGATCGCGCCGCCAAGCTTGTCACCGTGCTAAAGAAACAAGGTCGTCCTGGATCACGGCACGATCGATGTCCAGGCGGAGGGGCTGCTGTACGGAGTCATCTACGCGGGGGCCTCCCTGCGCGCGGCGGTGGTCTCCTTTGCCCCGGGCCTGGGCAGCGGCGTCACCCGGCCTCCGACCCCTCCTCCCCATCGCAGACATCCGACGCTTAGCTTAGTTGCCTTGATATGCCTGTTTTGGAGCGCAACACGTGCCGTGTTCAAGACGTCCGTGTTCACACGCTGCGTGTTGGCTCAGCACGTGTTGGTCCACGTTTTGGCAAGCGTATCGCGCCAGACCTACGTATTCAGTCTACGTGTCGAGTTCCGTGTCGAGCTGCGTGTTGCGTATCAGGGTAGCTAAGATCCGACGTTTTTTGTGTTGTTGTTGCTGCTGGTGTTGCTGCTTGTTCCCTACTGGCGTGGACCCCCTTGGGCCCCCCTGGGCCCACGAATTCAGACATCGGCGATGGGACACGTCCCTGACGCGCGGAGCGCGCTGGGGGCAACGCCGGAGGCGTCGCCAGGGGTGTCCGAGTGCCGATCCAAGAAACCCGTGCGGAGCTCCGAAAGGCTGTGTCTACGTAGTTTATCCTTAATCGCCTCTCGTTAGAGGGTTATCAGAGAGGTAGAAATAAAGGGAGGAAAAACCACCTTGAACCCGATTATTGGCGATCACTACACGGTCCTGGGCGTTTACTAAACAGCCCTGCCCTGTTCGATTCCTTTTTGGGTGCGTTTGCTAAACGGATTCGCTTGTCGGGGTGCTTATCATGGGGCTGGATATTCTGTTCCCGAGGAAAGTGCCACAGAAGAGTCCCGCAGGGAGGGACGGGGAGCCCTAGACCGCCCCCCGAGATCGCCTGGTCCGGCAGCCGTTTCGCCTGAGACTTCCTCGCATTTGTTCCAGGACTCGTGCGCTCTCGCAGCAATGCTGGCTGCATGTTTGGTCCAGATGGTCACGAC